AGTGCCGATTCGTTTTTGAATAAAATTCTTTGGGCGCATTTATACAAAAGTATATACTTACATTTCCATCGCCTGCAATAATATTTTGCCATTGCCTCGAGTGAAAATTTTCTATTTGATATGTACATATAAAACAAGCTTTTTTAAGTTACTGTTTATATTTTCGTTAGTTTATGCGCTGCCTGCCGATGAAATACTTTTCTCTTACAATGTTCCGTCGATTCATTTTTCGTAGACAATGGAAAGAGTTTAATGTTTAGACATTTTGTTCGAAGCTATATGAATTTTATATAAACACATGTGCAAAACGCGGCTGCTTTGTCTTAAAAAGCTTTCGATTAATTTATTGTATTTACTTAGATGTTGAATTGTTCAATTTTTGCTGAAATGTTTTAAGGAAATTGTTAGACTGTACAACGATATGAATAAAAAGAAGACTATAAGAATAAAAAGTATTAGTAACAATATGCATAGTAGTAAATATCATATTTTATATATTTATTTCATAAATATTTCAATAAATTTATAAATAAAACTGCTTCTAATGCTTTCATGGTTATTATAGTAAAAATACTATTGTACTCTAAAATAATCGAATTAAAAGAACAATAAAAAAAAAAAAAAAAAAAAAAAAAAAAAAAAAAAAAGAATAAATAAATAATAGTAAATTAAAAATTTATAGCATAAGAGTACTATATACAAGTAATTTTTCATATTTTTATAAATATATTGAAGTGTGGCTATAATCTTTCTTATAGAAAGGGAAAATTTTCTACTTTATGCTTACTTATAGCAAACAACAAAAAACTTGACTGCGTAAAAGCGCTTGAAAAACTCATGTGAAATCATTTATCAATAGATTATCCTACCATAAACCGAGAGTGTATAGCTTTTTATCGACTTATAAAATCAAAATAAACAACTTTTTATAATTTTCAATATAAATTCAGGTTAATTTAGACCTCCGTGTATAGTTATGATCTTAATCAAACAAAAACAAGAATCAATAATTTGATAATAAATGTATTAAATAATGTTTTTATTTATAAAGGGCCATGCAATTATATGCTTATATTTTTATAATTAATATTAAATATACGAATATCTTCTAACGGTGCATTAAATTTGGAAATATATTGCTAAAACATTTTCTCATACCGAATATCTTAACATTTGTCATCTTTCAGTTATTATTCTTATTTTTGTATTGAAATTATTAATATATTATTAATTTATAGATATTGTTAATTCCATAGGAATACATTAATCTGAAATCTTCAATCTCCAAATCATTCTTTATTAATCAACTATTTGTTTTTTCATAGAATTGCCGTGCAATTTGCTTTAGTTTATATATTCTGCATTAATTTTTCTGGCATCGATAAGTGCGATATATTCTTATTAAAAAATTACAAGCACAGCGTATTAATTAATTCATGCTTTTGTATGCAATATTAAATCAATTTGATGTATATTTTATTTAAATATCATTGTTAGATCTCTCCTAGTCAGTTAAAATTTCTATAAATAAAGTCTCTCAAAATACATTCTTTAAATTATTTTATAGGCATTTTTAGCACTGGAAAACTTTATTTTGTTATATTAAATCAATAGTGTGTTATTTACGCTGATCTGGATTGATAAGGAGAGCATATAATTATATCACCGTTTATTATTTCACATTTGCCAGATCTAATTCATTCGAATGCATCGTGTTCTGTGCTTGCTTAGGACCGATTAGACATTAATTACTTTCACAATCTGATAATTAGATAAAGAAAAAACTTGGAAATACTTGTAAATGTGTATTCTATGTTGTGTATTACTTGTAAATGTATATTTTCAATTAGAGGAAATATTTTAAAGTTTTCTATTAATTGTTTGTGCTATAATGTAATCTTATATAATTATCTTATTAATAAAATATTATTATTAATGTATCTTATATGATTACCCCAGTCGTTGTATTTCGTTCAACAAGACAATTTTAACTACTTTATTCAGGCAGCTTTACATAAACATAAAGAAATTATTTTAAATCACAAAATGCAAAATGATTTTAAACTTTTTAATCATTTTTGTCAAAGCTATACAAAATCCGATAACATCGAGTTGCATAAAAAATCGTTTGATGCTATTATTAATTGTCAATATCATACACAACTAATTCTATATAATGTTATAAGCTAAGTATAAAGAAATTAACTAATCTAGAAGATAATTTAAATCAAATTGGACTTACATTCATGCTTCTATGAATAAGAGCGAATGAAATTTAGTAGTGCTAATATATTATTTCATATTTTCTGTTAAAAAGTATAATAACATTTATTATAACTGCATAAAAAGACACGGTAAAAAAATGTAAATTATTATTAGAAAAAGTATAGAAAAAAGTACTATGAAATTACTGTGATTTAGAGACTAAGTTGAATATAGATATATTACGTCTATAGAATGATTATTCTGTGAGGAGTTTTTGTATTTATAAGGCAAAAAATTTTACTCCATAGCGAGAAAGATATTATGAGAATATCAAGAGAACTAAATTAATGTTCATTTCGTTAAATAACTAAAATTTATGTTTATTTATATAAATAAAAAAAAAATATATATATATATATATATATATATATATATATATATATATATATATACTTTTGCATGTAGCGAATGCAATTACAATATAGTTTATATATGCCGAATATTGAAGGTATCCAATTCAATGTAGCTTGTATATCTAACTGGCGACAATAAGCTGCTAACTGTATATGCATGTGTGTGTATGTGTGTATATATATACATATATGTGTATATAACACGAAGTTTTCCATGCCTCCTACAACTTTTCATCAAATTTGCTCCATTTTCCCTTTCAAGTTTATAAGTCTAACTCTTGTAAATGCACGTGTTTATACGATTATAGATATCTGTATGTATGAGCAGGTGGTAAGAGAACAAGAGAGGGGAGAGAGGGATCAGAGAGTAAGAGAGAGAGAGAGAGAGAGAGAGAGAGAGAGAGAGACTTCCTTCCTCTCTCGGTCGCTTTATTCAACATTTTTTACATTTCATGCTTTATAAGTGTCGACACTTCCGTTTTATTAATAAAAAGCTATATAACATTTAATATGTCATGAGAAATCGCAAAAAAAAAATTATAATTTTAATAGTTAGCTGGATGGAACGTTGATTGACTTATTTCCTTATATTACAAAAAATCTTCCCATCATTTTTAAAATAAATTTTCTTAATAAATATCCCATTTCTTCTCGTTAATAATCAATTTATTCTTTTATTACATTATGGACTGATGATTACCCTTCTTTGAGCATGTCGCACATAATAACGATTAAATCTCAAAGTACATTATTTCTTGAATAAACAATTCTATTCTGAAATGAGGTATATTAACATTATCGTTAAACTGTTCTGTGTCCTCCTATATTTTCTAATGAGGCAAATTTTCCTCGTGAATATCTACAGCGACATTCTTAAATTCTGACATAGAGCGAGTGCAAATTCACACACACACACACACACACACACACACCGGGTGTACGCGTACGTAACGTGTAGTGAAAATTGGATACGTGCTTTCTCGTCGACTATAATTATGTAAAATATCATTACGAATAACGCAAACAAATATCATAGGTAATGAAAGCCATCGAAAGTTGTAATGATACTTTACATAATTGACACATTGACGATTATCCGATCTACGCGTACTTGTACATTTTCAGTTATCACGAAAGTCCTTTTTTTCAATTATTATAAAATTTTTACATATTATGCTTTCAAATGTTATTACCGATTCACTGTTTCTTTCATTATATTTAATGCCCTTTAAAATGTAGATATAATTTTTGCCATATCTGCATTTTTGATGGTAAAGCGATAAATTTAAAACGATAAAAGAATTGCCCTCGTTGTTTGTTCGATTCATGCAAATCGTCTGCAGATATAGATTCTTTGGAAATTTTATTTTTACATTATTACGTTTGAGCAGAATAATTGTTTAACTTTCGCTCGATAATTTACTTTAGTTCATTCCTATTATTTACTTGGTAATCGTAGTTTTACACAATAGCACTTAATCGGCCGCTTAAAGCAATACAATTTAATTTTAATTTTTAATCCGTTACTTTAACATCTGAATATTCTATTTTGCAATTTCAAGTATTTTTTTTTAAATATATGTATTTGTGCTTATAGTTTAAAATGCTATAATATCTTCAAATTATATATGCACTTCATAATGTTTATTTATTTAACTTTTTTAATAAATCAGACGGGTGATGAATAATTTTGAAAAATAACAAACTGAATTAACATTTCAGTATATTAGTGAAAAAGGTGCATTGTTACTCTTTAAACAATTTGTACTATTCGAGCAAATATCTCTACAAATACGAAAAAATGAATTGAAGTTGATATATATGAAAAGAACCACGATGAAATAAATATTCAAGTTTTTTAATACAATATTTCTTCGGGCAGAAATAGAATTTATGTATATTATACCGTTTACCGTATAAATGGTAAGTAATAAAAATCAAGTGCAAAGTGAAAAGAACGTAATGCTTGAATTTCAGAGCATTTTTATTTAATCATCGCTGAGAATCAGAGAGATTGTAAAACTGCAAAAGCGAAGAACTTGTTCGCTAAAGTCAATTAACAGATTCATCGGAATTGAACTATTTCAGTACATTTGTTAGCAATTTATTTTTGTGGCAATTAAAAAAATTGTACCTACTTCATATTGCTTATAATGGCATAAAGATACGTTTCTCTAAATTTTAATAAATGTCATAATATATTGAAACTCCATCGAATTTTTCCCGACACACTATAAGAAATTTATGTAAACTTTAAATAAGCTACATTTTCATCATGGGGGTTCTTTTATAGAAAAGCAGAAAATTAGAAAAAGGCGGAGAGAGAGAGAGAGAGAGAGAGAGAATTGCAAATCATCCCCCTTGACGGGGCTATATATTTACCTCGATGAGAGACGAGATTGCAAAGAGTAGGACGATGCACATTGCGCTCATCCTGTCTAGCGTCATCTTCGATTCGCGATTAAATTTCTTAAAAAGGACGTGAAAAATTAAAGTCCGAGCACCGGTCGACAATTATCGGCGATTCACTCGGGCCAACAACAGTCGCACTCCCGTCCCACGAAACAACAATTCTGCGTCACTTCACCCACGCTGCTGAATTCGAATCAAAGTGTCGCTCGCACGTCCGACTCTCGACTGACTGACGAAGGGCCAAAAGGACCGTGCGACTCTATGCTCCTGCTCCTGCTCCTGCCCCTGCTCGTGCTCGTGCGTGAGTGCGTAGACGAGAGAGCGAGCGTGGTGCAACGCGTACACGCGCTTCCCTCAGCGGTTTCGCCTCGAATGTAAGACCCGCAGCTGCGGTAGGCTCGCCTGCTCCCACAGCCCCGCTGCATCATCACGTGGCGGGAAGGCGCCGGGCCACCCCCACCCCAAGTCGCCCGATCCGCCGCCCCCGAAGCCGGCTGGGCGCTTTTATCGCTTCTACTTTCCTCTCGCTTCCGATCAAAGCAGCGCCACGGCGGCACTCTGCCACTGGCATTGAATAAACTTGCTCACTTTGCCTTGGCACGATCCTAGTGGAAGGGTGGGTTTAGTGGACGATGGGGAGGGGGGATGGGGAGGGGGTGATAAGGAGGAGATGGTGTAACTACGAAGGCCCACATTAATTGAGTTAATAATTATCGTTAATGCGCTCTCCCGTGTACTTTGGAGATGGATTTTAGCTCAATGTTGAAATTTCGATCGGAGTCTTACTTCGCTTATATTGCTCGCCTAACCACTGTCACGCTAGGCCGGCCAGGCGGTTGGAATTACGCCTGTAATTCGATTCGAAAATTGAGAATTGTGTGGCCGCGTGCCCACGAGGAATATTTACGTTGATGGTCGCTCCAGTTCATTCGTCGCTTTAGCCGATGGACCCTACGAACGGCTTACGTCCATTCGACGCCATAGAGTCCAGGCGAGCAAAATATTGTTTTTCTTTTTTTTTTTCGAATAATCCAGTCTCGGGATAAATTGTGCCGGGATAAATTTGCTCGGGATAAATTTAAAGAGCATCCCCCACGCTTTCCCCTTGACTTTATTTATCTAAGAATGCGATCTTATGCTCGTGAATGATAAACAATAGGACTCAACTAGGGATAAAAAATGTCGATCTATGGATGTTCGACAATTCTGTCTGTTATAAAACATTCCACAAAAAAAAGTTCACGAAGAATTAAATAAACTCCGAGCAGACAAAAGAACTCGTTATCCATTTACTTTCAATTACGCGAAGCGTGTGCCGTTAAAATAACGATGCGTATTCCTTATTTTCAAAATGCAAATGAAACATCATTTGCCAATGCGTACAGAAGCGTTTAGAGAAGCTTCGTGCCTACGGGACTGACTCCTCGCCCTCACCTCCGTGGCAATCTTTGCTGCGGATAAACAGCGCTTCACAGTCAGCATCTTGCCGGCTACCTACCGGCTAGAAAAAGTAGAAAGAACAGGTAATCTTAGCGACCAACTCCGCGGGCGACTCCGCCCCACCCCCGTCCCGTTGTCGAATGAACTAGTGATGGCTGGCGGGGACGGGCTGGGCGGGCAGGGCCGCGCGAGATGTCCGGGCGAGCGTAGCAACGCATCGGACCCGGCGCCCCAGACGCTCGAGAGGATCGATTGGCCGGCCATTATGGTTTCATTCCGTCGGCCTGTCTCCGCGTCGGCTCCGACGCATCAGCTGCCCTCGACATTGACGAGAGCGGTCCGAGAGCGGCAGCTGCCCGCCCGCAATAAGCGCCCGAGGATAAAGGTCCTCCTGCTCCTCCTAGGCGGCGGCACGCGCTCTAAACGCGGGACAGGTGTAGGGGCCGAGGTGGCACGCGACAGCCGGCGATCGTGACGCGCCATTGGCCGCTCGCAGATGCTCGGAATTCGGGCCCGACAGGGCCCCGGGCGCCCGAGGCAGCCCGTGGCCGCGAACCGCCGCGACAAACGTCACAGATGGACGCGTCGACTCTCCGAAGCGGATCGCTGACTTTGGCGACGGGCCTGTGGGCCCCGAGTACATCGGTTCCTCCGGCCGGGCGTAGCTACGACATCGAGAGGCCCGATCAAGCTGCTGTCGTCAGTGATCGGACGATTGCCCTATCGCCACCACCCACCGTCGCCACCCAACGCGTCCATGGCTGACCGACAATTGCCACGACATTAATATGTGGGACACTTCCGTGCTGGAAACTATAGCCGTGGTGATGTGTAGCGCGGGCCCTCGAGCTCGATTCTTTGGATCGCGAATGCGTGGGCGAAAAATCACAGGGCCGACGAATGGTTTATCCAGTCGGTGGGAAATTTTGTCATACCATCGTTTGCTTGATCGGTCGTGTTTTATTGGATTATTAATTATATATAATTGGCACACTAAAATAAATGGACGATAATTGTAATGTTTTCTTCTTAGTTTTTACATAGTCTCCCCATATCAATGATAAAAATATTACAATTAACACGATGGCATGATTAATAGAATTAATGATTAACACGAATTAAGAATGATTAACACGATTAATAGAATACTAAAAAGACTAGGAATTTTGATGATTGGTTGCTTGTGCGTGTGCGTACGTACTTACAATAGTACCTCCTAAAAGTTACTTAAAGTAAGCAAAGAAATTATGAAGGTGATAAGTCTTAAGACACAGACTATGCAAGGAGTTAAGCACATACGATACAATTAAATTAAAATAGGTGATACGTCATTTTAATAATAAAAAAAAATTATAAATCATACAGCCTGCAAATGTTAAATTCAAACAAGTCATATATATATATATATATATAGTAAAAACAAACAAAAATAATGATAACACGTCAACTTTAATTATTGTTGTTATTTTAGGATCGCTTAAAACATTTTTCTTTATTTAACTTAATTAATCTCATATACTTCTATAAACATCTCGTTTAAATTATACATATTTCGTTACATACAAATATACATATTAATATCAAAACTTAAAACAATTTAATTCTATAACATTTATTATTTCTTGCTGAAACTAATAATTAGCATGTAATCTTGAACGCCTAAAGCCTGTTGATTATATTTTAACTAAATACAGTTGACGAGATAAACTTGTAACAATATCAATATATCCGTAATATAATTATTCCCAAGTATATATATAAACTAGTTTAATTATAATAATTTATTTAAGTATTAACGTAATGAAATAGCCAAATAATAGTCAAATTATAGGATTATAAATTTAATCGTTAAACCAAGATAGAAATTTTTATTAAATTATTTAACAAAATATAATGTTACAAAAAAACAACACAAAATCTATACATATTTAATTGCATAATAGCTTAAATTTGATTGTCGTGCCCTCAATAAATACTAAAAATTTTATGATTTACCTAATAAACAATCGTTATATTCCAACTTGCGTCCCAGTTCAATAATAATTTCGTAATAATTATTAACAAATTCATATGCTATTATTGGTATATCTTCCTTTCGCACTATCTCTCTCTCTCTCTCTCTCTCTCTCTCTCTCTCTCTCTATTTTAAGATAATAATGTTCAGATGACTTTTTTATGACCAAAGAACTTTTTATCTTCAAAGGTATTATTTTATTTCATGCCACATCAAGCTCGATTGTCATGAATTAAACATTCCCTAATATCGTTTTTAGCAATTGGTATGTAGTGGTGTAATCGATATCAACATACCACCTCGACGTGTAAATGAACATTTAATATTCGAACGACAGATGAAAAATATCATTGTACAGCAAAAGAATGAGAATATTTTCAGTGAAGCTTTGCATGATTTTAATGCGGGCCGTGTGTAAAATTGATTTAGCATAACGAGAATAGTACATACGTACAATTGGAATTATTCCGTTACCTATAAATAACAATAAGATCTTCGTTGGTTTTCGAACGATCGACAAAAACTCCTCTTTAGTTCAGTAGTGCTATTTGGAATTTATGAAAACCATCGGAGATGAATAATTAATTCAGTCACTTTCATTTCGATCACCAAATTGTGTGACCCGTGAACCAATCGATTATGAGACACGTAACGCAACTGATTTACATAGACCAGGGTTCTAAGCAAATGAAAAGATAATATATTAGTTATTATTTAAAATACCACATTCAAAGATAATAGATTAACGAGTAAAGAAAAAGTAGATATACCTTTTGAGTATTCATAACCAGAGAAGAACGTGAGCAGTGAGAGCTTTAATCATGACATAAGTAACATTAATGAAAAGCATATTTCTTCCACAATCGTAGACATTTGGATAAGGAATGCTAAGACATTAACATAGAAAATTGGATACATTAGCAAAGTCTAGCATAGAGGTAATAGAGTGGTAGCGCTTAAATAATTTCTAGTGCTTAAATAACGTCAAGTATATATATATATATATATATATATATATATATATATATATATATATATTCGCTGAAATTGAATCTCATTTGTGTTTAAGGACCATTCCTGTCAAAATCACATCTCGAAGATCTGCTTTTGTCAGATTACCAACAAGTAGAAGTCAACTTCAGGTCAGAACAATAAAAAATAAAACTAACATTGGTAATTTGAATGTTAACTAGATCTCTATATGTAATTTGTGTATGTAAGGTAAGCGAGACAAGAAACTCATGGTACATGAGAAGTAGAATTGATGTGGTAAATGAGGGTGTACTGTGAAGCTTAAATATTCAAATAGCGTGATGTATAGAGAACCCTATTGCGTAAATAAAAAATAAGCGATGTCAATGTATGTAATGATTCTGCCATTTTAATTCATTAAAAAAAAAAGTTTAATTAAACTTGTTTGAATGAAAGCACGTTAACGCAAAATGAAACTGTTTACCTTATAGCATGAAAAGTTACAAAAGATTGAAATATTTGTTAAAAAAATTATTTATATATATATTTATTTATAGAGACACACATAGAGAGAGAGAGAGAGAGAGAGAGAGAGAGAGAGAGAGAGAGAAAAGAGGGGTCAGTCAGAAAGAGAGTAAATTTATGGTATTCTCAATTTTACTACTTTTCAAATACATAATAATCTACTATTTATATAAACACTGAAAATATACAATTTTCTTTTAGTGATAGAATTGTATAACTTTTTAAATCTTTGAATTTCATTTGATTATTTAAACGAGAAATTCGGTCTCGTATTTATAAATGAGATAAATGATCTCATATTTCTAAAAATGTTATAAAATATTCAAATATAGCCAGTATATATCAGTTTACAATATTATTACAAAGTTCAATCAAGGTATTAAAGAATATTTTTATGTGAAAATA